TTATCTTGCACATTTTATATAAGAGGAAATGACAGTCAAAGGCATTTTTTTTCCCCATATTCTTACTACTGGAAGTGCCAGAGACAGGATTTGAATCCAGATCTCCAAATCCAGAACTCTGTCCACCACAGCATTCTGCTTCATGTAAATCATAGCCCAGAACCCCTAAGTTCTCAGTTTATATGACATAAATTCAGTCCTGGTGGCTTCTGGCTGCTGCCATTTCTGAGAAGCGATGTTCTACCATTTTCTCTTCATTCCAGATCTTGAGTTTCAGGACTATTACTACTCCAGAAGGCTGGGTTCAGGAACTCTCTTACTTGGTCATATGATTATTGTTTCCATAAACCCTTCTGAAGATTTGGATTCTTCAACTCTGACACTTCTCTAGAAGGCAGTTAAGGAACTCTTACAATTACATAGCTCCTAACTGCCTCCATAGGTTCCACCATTGCTTTGTCATGAAGGAATTTGCAGTCCAGGAATTCATCTCACTTAGCCACATGGTTCCCCTCTGGACAATTCTTATCTTTCAAGCCATGAAGATTTTTCTCTGCCTTTCCAAAACTGAAACTGAGAATATGGTCTTTGGAGGAGAATATATAGGACAGGGTTTACCAATACCTATTTCTCCCAGAACCTAAGTTTCCTCTCAGGTCTCTCGTTTCTGGTCTGTTCTCATCTCTCTCTAAGTCTCCCGTCAACTGACATGGAAAATATTCCTTGGCCATTTTATGGGCCCAATAAATCAATCAAGAAGCATTTATTAAACACTTTCTATGTGCCAGGAACTATGCTAAGTTTTGGGGTTATGGACAAAAAGATAAAATAATCTTTGTTTTCAAAGAGCTTACATTCTAATGGGAGAAGAGATAGATTTATATATAGGTGTGTGTGTCTGTGTGTGTACACCTACACACAGAATCAGATGTACATGCCTAGTGCAAAGGAGTAGCTCTATTCCATGATATCCTGGGTCAATAAAATGCTACCTAGTGTGGAGATTTAATCAATCCTTGGTGATAATTGGACCTAGCAGTGAGGTACAATAAAAACTTTTTACACGTAATTAAAGACCTTAATAATATCATCATAATTTAACTTCATTAATTTGACTGACATCTGAATATCACTCTACATACGTTTCTTTAATAGTATCTTTCACAGAGTTGAAGTATAGCAGATGCTTTATATATCCCTTTCCAGGTAAGGCATGATTTAATGAGTTTGAGGGAACACTTGAAATAGAAATTCCCTCTAATAATGCATATGGTAAGTCTATGTAATAAGGGTCTTAGAAAAGTTGGTTATGGTGCTGAGAATTTTTGACTTGCCCATGGCCACAAAGCTAATATGGATAATAGGCAAGATTTGAACAAAGACTTCCTGTTTCAAGGAATTTCTCTTTCCCTTACACCACACTATCTCTCCTTGATTAATATGCAACAAAATAAGAAACTGGTCTTTTGAATGTATAAGAAAAAGATTCTAAGGTGTAAAATCTCTAATGCTGTCTTTAGCCTTCTAAACAGTGATTATTTTCTAGTTCAAGGAAAGCAAAATTCATGTGATCTCCTTTTCAGAACTTTTCATTTAATGCCATTTTTTATTCCCCATCATTTCCTTTTATATCAAACCTGCTATTTCCCTGTGATACTAATGAATTTTCTTCAGAGAGGCAAGTGGTGCTTGACATGGCATGAGAAGACCTAGGCCTCAGTAATAGCTCTGATATTTCCTTGCTATTTGATCATGGGAAAGTCACAGAGTTTTTTATATTTTGTTTTCTTCTTCTGAAAAAACATTATTATTATTATTATTATTATTATTATTATTATATTTTTACTATCTACCTGATAGTGTTACTGTGATGAAAGTTCTACTTTGCTACATAAATATGAATATTATTATATATTCCCTATATATATTATACATATATAACAGTTTGACATCCTACACAGGTTTTTAAGAATATTTCATATAATACTAGAAGGATACCTCTATCTCTCTCTCTCTCTCTCTCATTGGTAATGCAGATATTTGATTCCAGATGATCAAAGGATTACAGATTTAGAGTCAGAAGTGACCTTAAAAACATGAAGTCCAATCACCTCATTCTACAGATGAGGAAAATAAAGTATCAGGGACTTAAATTGCCCAAGGTCACATAGCTGGTAATTTTAGAGTCAGAATTCAAATGCAGGTCTCTTAACTCCAAGTCTAGCACTCTTTTCACTATGACACATTGGCTAATTACCTTCTTTTGATTCTGTCAAAAATAACATTAATTTTTCTTTAAATGAAAGGAATTGGTTTGGGGTATTTCAGATCACTAGATCAATGGAAATTCCAGGAAGTCATTAAACCACAGTTTGGGAATCATTCATTTGAATTTTGTCTTCAAAATTGCTGTAAATCTTGGAATTATTAAACATCATAGGCAGGATTGAAACTATAGTATATAGAGATGAAAATTATATGGAGTGATTAAATTGTATTGAGCTAGATAATTCAAGGAACTTCTATCATGGGACTAAAATTAAATAAGTTTGTTCTGGAAGTATAGGTTTTGTCTGTGTGAAGAGCTATAGCTCATCTGAAGAAAATGCTGAATAAATTTATGTAGGTAATAGAAGGATGTATTTATTTAGTTGGGTCAAAATTCAACTTTTCAAGATAATTCAAATGAATCCAGGTTGAACATGCTATTGTGCAAATGTGTGATTTAATTTCTAATGTAGAACAAATAATATTTTCACCCAGGAAGTCATATTCTGGATGATTACAAAGTAATTATAAATCATAATCAAAGAATCACAGAATTTCAGAACTGGAAGGGACCTTATTGACCATTTCATTAAATCTTTACCTAAATGAGAACCACCTCTACAACATATCTGATGAGACTATTCTATCCTCCATGAGACATCTCTTCCAATAATCATTATAGGAAAGATGAATGTACCCTTGTTAGCATCTCTTCCAATAATCATTATAGGAAAGACTGAGGCAAACAAACTGAAGCCAACAGGGCTGAGTGACTTGCCCAGGATCACACAGCAAGTAAGTATCTGAGGCCAAATTTGAACTAATGTCTTCTTGACTCCATGCCCAGAGGATTAAAAGTTTCCTTCATGAATGATAAAAGTTAACTATTCACAATTTCAGTAATAACACTAGTCCTCTGCATTCAAGGAGATTAAAATTTTCAGCAACGAGTTGGCCTTTACTTTAACCATAAACATTCAAATCAATGTGTCTAGGTGGCAAATTTAAAACATTAACACGAACCAAGGACCAGAAAGCCACTTGTGAGGCTCTTTTCTTATTTTTGCATTTAAAAATACTTTCCACATTTTCTTCAAAGTATTATATAATTGAGAATCATTTTTTATCGGATCAATACATAATTTGAACTTAAATATAGTCATAGTAAATTATACTAGAAATAGTCTCCTTTCCTTTCCTTCCCTTTCCCTTTCCCTTTCCCCTTTCCTTTCCTTTCCTTTCCTTTCCTTTCCTTTCCTTTCCTTTCCTTTCCTTTCCTTTCCTTTCCTTTCCTTTCCTTTCCTTTCCTTTCCTTTCCTTTCCTTTCCTTTCCTTTCCTTTCCTTTCCTTTCCTTTCCTTTCCTTTCCTTTCCTTTCC